ATCGAGAGTAGCCGTCTAGGAAGCTAGGGTTTCGGAGTTTAGGGTTTAGCTTTAAAGCTTAACCCCATAATATGGGCGCCTGAATAATTAGAATAGGGTTTTGGCCCCCACTATACTTTAGTTGTAATAAGGAACCCCCAAAATAGTATTGGTAATTATTGAGGCCCCTATAGTAAGTCGAGCCCTCCGCCACAAAAACCCTAAACCCGAAAACCCTGAGCCCTCCACCCTCAACCCTGAACCTCGAGAAACCCTTTCCTGTGTTACTGCCCCACACCCCGTTGTTACCGTACCTTGTGTATTATTACTATTATTATTGTTATTCTTATTATTAGTATTATTATTATTATGAGTACTCTTTTGAATTCATTAATGATATCGTTATCATGATTGCAACAGATCCGTTCTTCGCCGGTGAAGCATTCCGACAGGTCCTTCGCTGGGCAGAGTCTCTCCTTATCTTCGATGAGGTGGATGCACGCGAGGCCGTGGGGCTTGGGCGTCACCTTAGGTTTGCGACGGTTTAGGGATCAGGCGAGTTGTGTTACTACAAAGTCACAAAGGTCACTGCCAGAAGAGTTGCACAAGAAAGGAGTAGTACCAGAGTTGCTATACTGAAGGGCTGCTTGTAATGTTTGGTTCTCGAGGGCTTACAGGCTCGCTTCCGGGTTGAAGGTTTCGGGCGGTTTGAAGCTATATTGTTATAGTATACGTTTATATGAACTATCATATACTTTTCAGTTTTCTTTATATATATATATATATAACCCTAAACCCTAAACCCTAAACCCTAAACCCTAAACCCTAAACCCTAAACCCTAAACCCTAAACCTTAGTACATATACTCTACAATAACATAGAGGACCTGGGGCTTCATGCTCCTGGCATGCACTTGAGGTCTTCGAAGCGGTGAGCCTTCCCAGCTGCCCCAGCTCCCAACCTGAGTAGCCCATATTAGGGTTTAGGGTTTAGGGTTTAGGGTTTAGGGTTTAGGGTGTGGGGATTAGGGATTAGGGTTTAGGGATTAGGGTTTAGGGTTTGAGGATTGGGGGTTTAGGGTTTAGGGATTAGGGTTTAGGGTTTAGGGTTTAGGGTTTAGGGATTAGGGTTTAGGGTTTTGGGATTAGGGATTAGGGATTAGGGATAAGGTTTAGGGATGAGGGTGTGGGGTTTAGGGTGTGGGTTTAGGGTTTAGGGTGTGGGGATTAGGGTTTAGGGTTTAGGGAATCCCAATGTCCGGCACCCTAAGCCCCAAGTCCGCTAGATCATAGCAAAGTAACGTGTTTTTGCTATTTTTCACTGCATTGTATCCAAGACCCTGAACTGAGTCCCAGACCAAAAATGCACCCTAAACCCTAAACCCTAAACCCTAAACCCTAAACCCTAAACCCTAAACCCTAAACCCTAAACCCTAAACCCGAAAGCCGAACACCAGGCCGACGACCGGTGCCAGGCCGGCATTCTGCTGGCACTCTCCGGGCGCTGGCCGCGGGCTCTGAGCTTCCTGGCGAGCACCGGAGGTGAATACAGCTCTGCGGACACGTAGAAGAATTCGTATACTCTCTAGCTATAACTACGCGTGTATATATTTATATATAAGACTATACACATAACCGTCTGTATATATATATATATATAGTACCTATATATGTATATATATATATATGTATATATATATATATCTTTATATACATATATGTTGATTGTCCGCAAATCCTTGGATGCTCGAGATTCCAAGGCCTCTTATCAGGCCAGTATCTGCAGAGCCGGGCGACTGCGGCTGCAGCTTGGCTTTTGGAGCCGACACAGGAACTCATATGGGAGTTTTCGTAATGAGGATCCTACTATTTAGGGTACTATATTAGGTTCCCATCTGGGGGTTTCCGAAAATAGGGGGTACCTTATTTTGGGGGTCCTTATAATAAGGATCCTACTATTTAGGGTACTATATTAGGATCCCCTATTCTCGGAAACCCCCATATGAACCCCGATAGAAGCCTTGAGCGAGTCATATACATGTGCATATTGTGCGACTGTCTGTTTTTTTGATAGTTAAATTTGAGGGTGTGGGTTTGGTTTGGGGGTTGGGGTACGGGCTGGGTCAAGGGAGTGCTTGGAATGGAGATCTCTGCTCAAGGATTCACCATGTCTTTCTGGAGAATAGCAGCACCGAAGCCTTCAAGTTCTAGCATTCTAACACCTTCAAATTCTAGCATTCTAACACCATCAAATTCTAGCATTTTAACACCTAGGCCTCCAAACAGTTGTTCCGGTACTGCAGACGTCGCATGAGATCTTACATAGTTGGCCAAAGCTCTCAACCAGCAGGGGCCTAAATAACTACCAATACTATTTTGGGGGTTCCGTATTTTTTATAGTATAATATACCCCAAAGCCCTATTCTAATTATTAAGGCCCCTACATTAGCCCCCAACCCTAAACCAGTCTACACCCAAGGCCGCGGGCACTTGCCAGGACTGCCCGTGCACGTAGAGTGGCCAGACCGGTTAGCATTTCGGCTTTCGACTGGGGCCGGGGTACCTTGCTTGCTGCAATGTCGGATCTCTGAACGGAAAACATAGTCGTAGTCGTAGTCGCAGTCTTAGTAGTCGTAGTTGTCGTCGCAGTAGTAGTAGTCATCGTCGTCATCGTCGTAGTAGTAGTAGTAGTAGTAGTAGGCGCCCCCCCCCTACCAACTACACTTGCTTAAAACCATCTTAAGAGCTCATCCGTTTTATTCGGTATTTACAGCACTTTCGTCATGTACGATCATCATAAGAGGCCTCAAAATCCACTTGCCGAGTTTGCTAACTCGGCCTCTTGATTTTGGACTTGCTGGGGGGGGTGGGGTGGGGGGGTGGGGAGGGGATGATGACGACAGTGTTACGCAAACACAACCAACAATATCACCACAAGAGCCGTTTTACTCGGTATTTACAGTACTTTCGTGATGTCCTACTTTCTTATATAGTTGCCACCCCTACTTCTGGACTGTGC